TGGTCGAGAGCCCCTTATAACAATGAGGTCCGGAATGACAGTCAGGGACCACCAACACCGAAAAATATTTCCGTGCTGATATTTTATATATATATATATATGTATATATGTATATATCTATATATATATATATATATATATATATACAAATATATATATATACAAATATATATAATTATATTGATGCTGTGATATTATAAGACTAAACTGATCCTGAGTTTTCACGAGAGTATGCTTTTGAAACATGCCCAAAAGTTGGGACACCACCTTTGAGGCACACGTGGAACGTGTAACCGCTAAATCATTGGCCGGTATAGGCCAGATGCAACTACTCTGCTGCTCTGCTCGAGCTGGAGATTGTCCTACGATACCGAGTATATCCGTCGGAGGAAAAGTGAAACATCACACCGCCATGTCCAGTACTTCTGTTTGCGAGTGATTTGTGCTAAAGGGTGCCCTTCTCGTCAATGTGGAACCGATATTAGCTTTCCTTTTCCAGTGAGCCGGCCCTGCAGCCGGTCGTAATGCTTCATGACGCGCACGGCGTGCTCGTCACGCTGTGGGTCTACCGCTCGTGCCGTGTAGGTACAGAACATCCGCCGCATTGCCAAAGGCAGCACGGTGTGGGCGTCCGGCCACGCGGCCGGCGGCCCGTCCCCATCCCCGCTGGGCTGGCAGACCGGTCTTGATGGCGCAGTTGAAACCCTGTCGACCCCGTGATCATGAACTCTGGCGTCGAGGCCCGTTGCACGAGCCGTGCCCATCGTTCTCGTGTCGCGCGGGTTTTATTCACGGATTTGTGTCAGGCGCTGTTGGCGCGGCCTGCAGGTCGCAGCAACCGTTTCCCGGATTAGACCCCTGCAATGCATTTGCTTGTTGAATTTTTTATTGCTGCATCCGTTTTTACCGAACACATATCTCTAGTAAAGCGCTTTTGGCGCACCTCTGCTGTATTGAAATGCACCAACGATCCAACGAACTCGAATTCTCGCACATGCAACGAATTTCTCAGGAAAACACAAACGTTGACGTCAAGCTGCAGTTTGGTGACTACAGTTTGGTGACTACAGTTTACGGTCCTACTGTCTGTCTACCAGGAGTGGATCCAGGATTTCATCAGAGGGCTGGGGGGGGGGGGGGGGGAGGGACAGGCGCTCATCATTGTGGGGTCCTCTGAAGTTTGGGGCCCACTCCAAAAAAAATATTCTTGCGTTTCGGTCATTGCATTTTAAGACAAGTCGTATGCAATATATACATATCTACATATATATATATATATATATATATATATATATATATATATATATATACATCCATTTACTTGGAAACTCATCTTACTGTGCAAAGCGCTATAAACCAGGCGTGCTATGCATGCATACACATAGAGCTCACTCATTTTCCACAGATCATGTGGAATGCTGTGATCTTGAGGCTAAGTGTTTCGGGACAACAGGCAAAGCAAGCTTGAGTTGGCTGCTAACAAACACCAAAACAAAGCATGGACTTGACTCCTAGCTTATGTATTTGCGGCTAGCCGGCTGGGCGATGTAATCAGCTGATGGCTGATGACTAATGTGAAATTTCTCCTTTCTTATAAGAGGGTGCAACATATCCTATCATTCAAAACATGTTAAGAACATGATGCACTAGTACAATAAGTGTCATGCACCCAATAGCCAATGGAAGTGGCACATGCGACGTCGGCGGCATGGAAAGTACTTGCGGTAATTGCGCGTAAAAATTCCTCGGCGCATATCCGACTACTGCTCTAAGGCGAAGACACCAATGCCCATAGCGACGGAGCCTGAGCGATCGTGGTGCCGCAAGAGGCCAACAAAGTAGCTCCCGTCAACAAGTGTAAGGTCCTCAGAGCGGGCCAAAAGAACCCAAGACCAACGTGGTGGGCCCCTGAACGATCGGTGGTGCCTAGGCAGGCTGGCATATAAGGCCCTGTCCATAGCAAAGGACCATTCGAGGAAAAGAGAATTATCCAAGACCATAACTTAATACCCCGGTGCCATCAAGAGTACACTTGGAGGTTGACAAAACGAGCCTCGACGGGAGTGATGAGTGCTCTGCAAATGAGACCAAAGGGAGAGAGCCCTCGATCAGAGTAGAGGGGCCAGTAGGCATCGAGTATCTCCGTGCCTTACTTTATAAGTGCCCTAGCAATAGCGCAAGACCTTCCAAGAAGGTGGAGAAAACCCGAGACTTATAGGAAGGGCCCCTGAGCAACTTAGTGTACCCTGGCATATGGGGCCACGAAAAAGTGCGTAGAGCCTTTCGGGTGAACGGGGAGAATCCATAGACGAAAACCTGATCGATCGACAGTGCCCCGGCATGGAGGTAGATAGGCCCAATGTCTCAACAGCACATTGGGCCCTACATAAAATGAAAACAGATCAAGGGCAGCGTGGAAAGCTCCTTAGCGAACAGATAGACCCGGCAAGTGGACATATGGGGCCAGGCAACCAACAGCGTAATGCCTCTAGACAGTGTAATAAACCCCAAATGATCCCCTAAGCAGCACGATCTTAATCAGCGAAGGATGAACTTCGTTTGCTTATGAACTCTTTACCGTAGCTGACAATGGTTCTTGTTCGTCTGCAAGGCCAAATGCATTTAATTTTGTCGTGTTTTTTTGTTGTGGGAAAACAGCATCCGTCCGGCCGGTTATTACCCCCTCGAAGCCTTTGGTTCCCTTGGCACGGTCCATGGGGCATGGTGCTGGCCTCCTCCCCCCCCCCCCCGTCCACCCTCTGCATCCGCCACCGTCCCTAGCGGCTGAACAGATGGGGCCCGCTAAGAACATAGGGCCATCCATTCAAATGAGGCTCTGAACGAATGAGTGCGCCCGAGCAGATTAACATATAGGGCCCCCGTCAAGAGCGTAGGAGCTTCCATTCAAATAGGATTTACCCACGACCCAATGTAGAGGGCCCCGAATGATCGGGTCTCTCCGAAAGATCGAGCAGGTTAACAGGTATGGTTCCCAAAAAGAGCGTAACGCCCTGGACTCAAATAGGAAGTATTCAAGATATAAAGCAGAGGACCCGATAATGATCCAGTGTGTCAGAGCAGGTTGACATAAAGGGCCATCGTCAAAAGCGTAGGGCTCTCCATTGAAGTAGGACACCAAAGACCCAACATGGAGGATCCGAATGATCGAGTGTGCCCGAGCAGGTCAACAAGTAGGGCTCCCAACAAGACCGTAGGGTGCTCCATTTAAATGGAAACCACCGAAAACCCTGTGTAGATGGCCTCAGAATGATGGAATATACCGGGGAAGCTTATCAGAGGGGCCCGACATAAGCGTATAACCCTCCATTCAAATAGGAAGTGCCCAAACCCCAGGGCGAAGGGCCCCCGAAAGATGGAGTATACCCGAGCGATTGTCAAGTGGCCCAGACAGAAGTGAGGGGCCCTAAATTCAAACACCAAGACCCAATATGTAGGGCACCTCAAACAATCCAGTGTGGACGAAGCGGCGTCCAGATGGGGTCCCCGATAAGTGTGTAAGGCTTTTTATTCAGATGGGAAGTACCCACGACACAATGTGGAGGGCCCGGATATTCGAGTGTGCCCGAGAAGGCTAACATATGGGGCCCTGGCAAGAGCATAGAACCCTCCGCTGAAATATGAAATACTCACGAAACGATGTAGAGGATCACGAATAATCGAGTGCGCCAAAACAGGTTAACAGATGGATCCCTGAAGACAGCGGAGGGTTCTCCTTTCAAAAAGGAGGCATCCAAAACTGGATGTAGAGGTCCCCCACTATCGAATTGGCCCGAACATCTTATCGGAAGAAGCTCCGATAGAAGCGTAACGCCCTCCATTCAAGTGAAAAATTATCCAAACCCGGTGCGGAGGGCCCCGAAAGATGGAGTGTACCCGAACAGGTTATCAGATGACCCCGAGAGGAGCAGAGGGCCCTAAATTCAAAAGCCAAGAACCAATGTGTAGGGCCCTCCGATCAATTTAGTGTGGCCGAGGAGGCAAACAGAGGGGCCCCCGACGATGGCGTAAGGCCCCATCCAAATAGCGCGTGCCCAAGGCCCAATGTAAAGGGCCACCGAACGGTCGAATGTGCTCGAGCAGGTTATTAGATAGGCCTCCCCACGAGATCGTAGGGCCCCCATTCAGAAAAGAGGTACCCAAGACCCAGTATGAGGGTCCCCGAACGATTGATTGTGTCCAAGCAGGGCCCATGAGCATATCGCAAGTGTGTCGGTAGATTAACCGAGACCCACGTAAGGGGCCCCTGAGCAACCGAGGATACCCCAGCTGGTTAAGATATGGGACCCCGGCTATAGCTCACAGAACCTTTCTGGCGAATGGAGAGAATCCATGGAAGGGCCCGTGATTGACAAGAATGCCCCGGCGCGCTAGCAGGAAGGGCCTCAACAACAGCACAGGGCCCTCCGAGCAAATGCAAAAGAATGGTGGACAACGTGGAATGCTCCTTAATGACAAAAATGATCCTGCAAGTGAGTACATAGGTCCCCGGTAAACGGCATGGGGCCCTTAGACATAGTAATGGGGCTTAGAATTTCCAATTCACAAGTTTTTCAATCATTGAGCAATTTCTTAAACTTCCCGTACGCTCTTCACTTTCGCTTACAACGGTTCTTGGAACTGTCGCATGAAAGTCCAGAGATACCCAGGTTGGTTGCGTTTTGTGTTAAAAAACTACACGATTCGACCGGCTATGAGCCCCCTCGGAGCCAATGGGCCCCGTTGGGGCCCAGAGAGGGGGCATGGCCCCATGCCCCCTTTCCCTGGATCCGCCCCTGCTGTCTACCAACCTATCCTGGCCATGGCTGGATATCGGACATTTGGAGAGATCACGGCGAGCCTAATGTAAACGCACACTGAGCAGTGCATTAGTGGTTTTGTACAATTTGACTGCCAGAATATTGCAATATTCGGGCAGCCTTTTAGAACAACTTGCTGATGAATGACCGGGTGAGGACGCGGCCGGCCTGGGATTGCCCCCCCCCCCCCCCCCCGGAAAGGGAGGGAGATCGGTTGTGATGTGTGCCTTCCTCTAACGAAAGGCGGCAGACAACAGGCTTCGGAAGACCTTAATGGGAAATGTTGGAAATGGACCGAGCTGCCGCCATCGACACTCCTAGGGGTGACCCCGGCGGGCTGAAGTCGTCGAGCAGGCTCCTGGCGGGCTGAGTCGGTGGGGCCCCCGGCTGGAGCAGTCGTTAGGGTGGATGCAGGTCACTGCGGGTGCTCGCCGTATGCAGGCGATGCCTACCATCCCGGCATGTGCACTGTCGGTCGGGCAGGGCCGCCGACAAACCCTCGGACCGTCTCGTCAGCTGACCCCGCGGCGGACGGGCGGCGGTGGCACGGCAGTATGGAGCCGGCACCCCGCGGCGGACGGGCGGCGGTGGCACGGCAGTATGGAGCCGGCACGCCGCGGCGGGGTGACGCTTCGGATGAGGTCGCCACCGACCGCGCGACAGGGGCGCCGCTGCGGCGTTCGTGGCCGAACCAGCCACGTGAGGCCTATCCGGGAGAGAGCACAACGGGTTGCGGTGTGAACGAGTGACGTCATCGTGAAGGTCAAGCATGGGAGTCAGTCGCCATCTGGCGTGAGCACGCCGACGGCCGGCCCAACAGCCGCGCTGGGGCGTTAGGCTGCGCATGCAGACAGGGGCGTAGCCAGCGTTTTCTGAAGCGAAGGCCCGGAACGCGCTGAGCACGCGTCACGCCGATTCTTACCTTTCTTTCAGGAGCTCTCTGTGGTGAAAATAGAAAAATCCGGTCGTGAAGAGGGAAGGGAACGCGCAGCTCCCGCCCCTGCGCACGGGCTGGCGGGGCCGCGACTAAGATAAGGCACGGATGTGATAGAATGCATTTTTGTAAATGCAGGGTGTATATAAGTTTTTCTTGCTCTTCATAAGGATGCGGGTAGGCATGCTGTTTCCATGACCGAGACCCCGGGTGGGGGAGGGGAATGGGCAGGGGATCGAGGCTGTGTGTCGTGTGCCTCCGGAGCGAGTGGTGTGAGCGGGCAGTGTCCTAGAATTGCCGACTTTGGGTGTAAAGCAGCACCCTATGAGGAGGAATTTTTCACTCCCTATCCCGTATTTTATGTGAATTTTTCACTCCTGCCTGACATTGTGTAATCGCACATGCCAAACCCCTATTTCCCTTTCTGAGGTTTTCAGATGCCATCCAAAACCGAGCTCAGTTGAAACCACCAAGCATAAACGAGGCTACGCAGAACCTGGACACCAATGGCTATGTCCTGCCTCACCTACATCTGAGTCATGTCTATATATGGACAGAGCAGAATGGTCAGACCACCCCATTTAAAATGTGAAGCCAACATCTCCAACGTTGTCATTAAACATGAATAGACAAGCCCAAATGGATGCATTTGCTGCAGCTGAAAAGGCAAGCAGCAATACTGGCATGGTCATCTAAAAGTTGTGTTATTTTTGGAGAAGAGAGATTGTTTTGTGTAGCATACCCATTATTGTCCTTGAAATAGGTTAACCATGACAATCAAAATAAGTTGTTCAAAGTAATTCAAAGTGTTTTGATTTGTGTGTTGTCAACTTTGTCTGATGTCAACAAGCGTACAAAAATGAACTGAATAAAAATACAAGTTGGAACCAGCCAAAAACTAGCTTTAAATATCATGTTTTTATCACAAGTGCTGCTGTCAACAGATAGGTGAGTTAAGAAGATGTTCATCATATGGGTTGCTCTAAGTTACGTTAAGTTGGTCAAGTGCATGGCAAGTGGCAATAGGAATTGTGCAAGAATCAGTAACTCGCAACCGCTGCTGTGATACAAACAGGTTATACAGGACGAGATGACGTAAGGCCGCTTTAGGTTAGGCATAGGTTGCTTGCATGGAAATAAGCATTGGTATTTTGTAAAAGACAGTGTCAAAATGTTCGCTTTCCCTGACCCCATCTGAACAGAAGCCAGAAGTATGTCTACTGTGTTTGACTTGGTGACGGGCTAAGGTGTAGGAGTCCAAAGTTTTTCTGTTTGAGTGTTTTATGCTTGTTGAATTTTCTGTTGTTATTTTGTTATTGAATTCACTTGCTTTGTTTTTTTCTTAGGTGCGGTGGAAGGGAATTGAAAAGTGCAGCATCAAATTGTTGGTGTTGATAATTTGTTATACTCATAATGCTGTCATAAAATTATTATGCTTTAACACGCTCCTGGTTGGCCGGCTAGACACCCTTCGCTCAGGTTGGGGGGGTCAATTTGACGCCCCCCCCCCCTCTCTGAGATCTCGGGAATAAGAAAGCTAGAGACACCAAAATTACAGGGTGCTTTGACCTCTACGTGAACTCACTTAGGTTATAGCTTTAACTTCCTAGGTCACAACCTTCAGGTCGAATAAGGTCAAAAAAGGTCAAATTCCAGGTTGGTCTCCAAGGCGCCCCCACAACCTAGGCAACTGTTTCTAAGGAAAAGTTGACAAGCCCATTTAAAGTCATTGACCCTGTCTGACCCTTTGAATGTCATGGTGACCAAAATGATGCAAAACTGCTCCGCGTTTTGCATTCGAATAAGCGACAAAGATTACACTAGGCAGCATGATCCTAAAGCAAAAAATTCGGCCCGGGCCATCTCAGGTCAATGGCCTGTTCTGACCTCTAAGAAGTCAACTGAAGATGCATAATGCGGTTTCTGCTGCCAATAAATTCGAAATGAGCACCAGAAACTATCCCTACAGCAAGCCCCAAAGTAATAAATCAGGTCGGTTTTGACCTTGGTCTGACCATCATACCTGACCTTAGATCAACATAATTTGCGCATTAAATATTTGTGGTGCCTAAGAAAGCATCTCAGAGATGTACGTCTTCGTCAAACACTCCGTTGTTGTATCAGATTGAACGATTCCCTAGAAATTGCCTTCGCGGAAACCAAGGGCTGACTTTGACCTGCCATAGGTCAGCGACGTTACAAGGTACATCTAAAATTTGTATGTCAAACGAACCGTTATGCAATTTTCTACAGCTGTACAAAATTTGGCGCGGCTACGCTGCGCCGTTCACAAACTGTTCGGGAAAAGCCCTCGGGGGGATCAAGTTGCCCCCCCCCCCCCCCCCCCCCCCCCACCACCCGAGCGCATGTTAATGTATTCTGTTTCACTTTATTTGCCTAAGATGTTAAAAAAGAAATGGTTTTGTGAGGTTCCTGATACTACGTCCATGCCAACTTGAAATATATGTATTTGTTGCTGAAGCATTAGTCACGAGCTCATAAGTCCCATCTTTTTTATTAATTTTTTTCACTCCCGCACGGTCTTTTTGCGATGGAATTTTTCACTCTCATTCTAGCTCAAAAGCGATTCTAGCTCCCTGTGAGTGGGCGCCGGTGAGGGGTGCACCGAGGGTGGACGTGGAAGGGTACTGGGTGCATGAGGAGTGAGAGGCGTAGTGGAGAGTAAAGGCGCCCAGGGTTGACGTGGGAGGGTACTGGGTGCATGAGCAGTGAGAGGCGTAGTTGAAAACAAGGGCACATGTGATCACGGCTCCAGCTGGCTTCTCTGGAGTATAATGCAGCTGTTGTGAGTGGCAAATCCAGATGGAGGCATAGAGCACTGCTCCCCCCCCCCCCCGCCCTGGGCGGTATGGGAGCCATAACGGCGTGGTAAAGGACACCAAAATCCTTATTTTTGGTGCACATATTTTACATGTTTAAGATGCACCGGAGTTCAGGGACACCACGAACGGTTCCTTTAAGTCCAACGTAAAAACTTCGCGTCCAGAAATCCGGGCACAGAAACATGGACGCATAACCCTAGTGTTTTTTTTGGGAGAGGGGGCATCAGCGTTAGATGGCTCTTTCCCGGTAACAAATCACTTCGTGCCATTCGTTGAGCGTAATCACTGGTAAAGTGGCGGGTGAAAAATCGTGGCTGACGGCGCGCAGCCGTGACTGATCGAACGCTCTGTACATGACACCCGTCCGGTGCTGTCATCAGGCCCACTAACCAATCAACTACAGCCGTACATGACGCCCGGCCGGTGCCGTCATCGGACCCACTGACATGTCCGCTCCGGGGTTCACTGCGATGTAGGATGTCCGCTTCGCTGGAGCTGGCAGCTGACGGGGTCTAACAAGGTGCTTAATATTATCCGGCTCGTAAACCGATCAATGAACTATTCTGAAATGTCGTTCATTTCACATGGCTAGCGCCGGTGCGTCCTCTTCACCATCAGAGTCCCCTGTCTTCAGGATGGAGTTTGCTAGCGCTGAGATTTTAAGACCGGATAGGTTGTGTTCCCTCTCGTGGTCAAACCTGAATCTGCCATTTAGATTTACAACCCAGTCACGGTTTCTGGATCTGGTCATGCCATGTTTCACTCAACAGTTGTGTTGCCAATATGCATAAACCAGTGACGTTTCACAGAACCAATGCACTGTAACAACTAGAGTAATAGTATTTCTGGCTGCATGTGTCATTTTTAGCCGTCTGCCTGTAGACAAAGAGGGCATAATACATTTAAAATTTTCGACCAGGTTCGAGCAACTTGAAAGTCCACAGCCAAATGCATATGTGCATACCATTCGCTGGTGCGAAGACTGTTTGATGCGAAAAAATACGCTATTTGATAGTGGTGCTTTGATCATCCTTTAACACGCGCTCGGGTGGGGGTCAACTTGACCCCCTCCTAAGGTTTTCTGGTATAATTTCTCAACGGCGCGGTGTGGCGGCGTCAAACTTTTCGTAGCTGTAGACCATTGAACAGCGGATCGTTTCGGGTCAGAAATTTGGGTGTAGCTTCTAAGGTTTTTCATCTGCGGTAGGTCAAAATCAGGTCATGGATTTGTTGAAGGCAATTTCCAGGGAGGCGCTGAAACCGATGCAGCAACGGAGTGTTGAACAAGGCCATACATTTTTGAAATGCTTTCTTAGGTAACACAGCAATTGAATGAGCAAGTTCCATTGACCTAGGGTCAAGAATGAAGGTTACCCAAAGGTCTAAATCACCCTATTCTATTATTCTATAGCCTGCTTTGTTGGGTAGCTTTTGGTGCTCGTGCCGAATTTATTGATAGCAGGAACCGCATGATACATTTTCCGTGATTTTTAAGGTCAGAATTGGTCACTGACTTAAAATGACCCAATTTAGCATTTTGATTTTTCGAACATGCTGCGGGGCGTAATCCTGAACGCTTCGTGAAATGCAAAAGTCATTGCAGTCTAGGATGATTTTGGTGACTATGACCTTGCAAAGGTCAAATAAGGTCACTGACCTTAAATAAGCACCAGTGATGTTTCGCTTGGAACAGGCATATAGGTTTACGGTGGTCGCATAAGAAGCTGTGGGGTACTCTGGACACCAGTCTGGAGTATAACCTTGTTTGACCTTATTTGAACCGAAGGTTATGGCCTAGAAACCTCTTCGCTTCTTCGAAACAAGTGAGCTCATGCACAGGCTAAAAACCCAGTGCATTTTGTGTTTCTAGCTCCCTTAGTTTCTGGGTTATCAGTGGTTCAAATAGACCCCCGTCACCTGAGCGAAGGGTATTCAACCGGCCATCCGGGCGCGTATTACTGTAATGCGTCGTTTTGATTTGTCCATAACCTAAAGTTTCTTATGTTTTGTCGTTTTCAACCTTCTTTGGCCTGGTTACGCACCAGTTTCGCTGGGTCATAGCGCTGCCAACTGGCTACCCTGTGTTAGTCGTATTTCGTCTCAAATAGTTAACATCCGTATGACGCCTATTTGAGCCAGACGTGCGAAACAAAGACGGGCGCGTTGCTTGCGATAAGAAGAAGCCAACAGTGCCTGATCTGAAGGTCTTCAAACAGAAAACACTTGAGCGTGATTTGCCGACACCTCTGAGCGCAGCATTACGCTGTCCAAACACGACCCGTTCCTTGTGTAACGTTTTTGGTACGCTTCTTCAAAACCCCTCATCCCCTCCATGCGTTAGGTATGATATGGGCAGTGAGCTAGAATCGCTTTTGAAGTAGGGTGGGGGTGAAAAATTTCATCCCAAAAGGACAGTCCGGGAATGAAAAATTCAATTTCCAAAAGATGGAATGTATGAGCTAATGACTGATGCTTCAGTAAACAAAGGCATCTATTTCTGTTCGGCATGGACATAATACCATAAACGTGACAAAACTGCTTTATTTTTTAACATCTTAGGCCATCACAGTGAGACAGAATACATTAAGGCATAGCAACTGCATGACAGTGTAATGAGCATAAAAAATCAGCAACACCAATAATTTGATGCTGCACTTCGCACTTCCCTTCCACAGCATTTTTACAAAAAAAAAAACAAGGCAAAGGAATTCAACAACAAAATGACAAAAGAAAATTCAACAAGCATAAAGCACTCAAACAAAAAAAACTCGGATTCCCACACATCAGCCTATCACCAAGTCAAACACAATACACATAACTCTGGCTTCTGTTAAGATGGGGTCAGGGAAAACAAAGACTTTGCCACTGTTTCTTACAAAATACCAACGCTTATTTTCGTGAAAGTAGCCTTACCATGCCTAATCTAAACAGGCCTTACTTCTTCTCATCCTGTCTTACCTGTTGGTATCGCAGCGGCAGTTGTGAGTTAGTGAATCTTGCACAATTCCTATTAGCACTTGCCATGCACTTGACCAACTTAACGTAACTTGGGGTAGCCCATATGTTGAACATCATCTCAACTCACCCATCTGTTGACAACAGCACTTATGATAAAAACATGATAAAGCTCATTTTTGGATTGCTTTCAACCTGCATTTGTATTTAGTTCATTTTTGTATGCTTGCTGACATAAGAAAAAGTTGACAACACACAAATGAAACCACTTTGAACCACTTCGGACAACTTGTTCTTGGTTGCCACGGTTAACCTATGTCAATAGCAATAATGGGTATGCTCTACAACACAATCACTCTTCTCCAAAAGTAATATAACTTTTAGATGACTGTGTCAGTTTTGCTGCTTGCCTTTTCAGCTGAAGCAAAGACATCTAATTAGGCTTGTTTATTCATATTTAATGGCAAAGTCTGAGATGTTGGCTTCACATTTTAAATGGGGTTGTCTGACTCTTCGCTTAATGCTGATATTCGCCTCACATTATAATTGCTATAAAGCATAGAGTATCCCAGTGTTAAAAATATAGTGCATATACACAGCACAGCCATTTGCCAGTCAGCAAACCACGACAGCTGTGGAAAATATCTGGTTAAAGCAACGATGAGGGACTACTGTAAGAAATTTGGGGCAAACAATCAAAAATATGGAACAAAATAAGCTCATAGCATGCCTTGTGGCATCACAATTTGTTTTATGACCAGACTCGATGTATTAAGACAGAAAATGGCTAACTCTGACTACAAATCATGCAATGAAGACAGGTAAAGTAAGCAATTACTTGGTCCACAGGAGACTTACTGGCTTTTTTCGGGCACACTTTTTCCTGGTCCTCCAGAACAAAAAATCAATACCACAACTTGCACAGTTTGCTGACAGACAGTCATCCCACTAACCAATATGAACATCACCACTATACAAATATAAATATCAATCACGTCCACCAACCTTCGAGATTACAATGGGAAACAAGTAAGAGGTGTGCATGATAAACATTTCCGGGGGGTGGGGGTGGGGGTGGGGGCAGAATTTCGCCATCAATCACTTCTGTATTAACTGCGTCAGGTCTGTCCCAAAGCTCTATATGGCAGCATAGGGATAGCCTTGTCAGGTAGCATGGGGAGATATACACTCGAAAGGCTTAGATTTGTTATTGTCGAGCACCGCCATGAACCAAAGAATGTCTAACCGAGGATTTACCAGGGCAGAAAAGGCGGTAACAATAAGCTCCGTGCTTCAAGTTGTCTCCTTCATTTCTTGTGAATTGTTCACTCTTGGGTACACATCAATCGTGTTTGAGCGGCTGGCGAATTAATCCAATTTCTGTATACAATACGTGCAAGTTTGCAGTTGGGGCATTTTGCAGAGAAATTGGTCAATATTCTAAGCAACAGATGGTACTTCTTAAGTTAACTGGAAAGGCAAAAAGAATCAAGTGGCATCACACTACCAAAAACAAAGGAATGTAGTTAAATAAATATAAAGAATGATACCTTCGTGTGCAAACTTTTGTTATCAGCTGATTTGACTTCAAATCTGTTAAAACAAGTGCCCAAATGGTGGCATTCGTCTTGTAAATTTATTTCCCAGACATTTCTTGAATCTTTCACTCCTGCATTTCCGTAGTGATGCAATTTGATGGTCAGATTTCGTCGGGCAAAATAAATACGTAAAGCAGAATTCTCTACCAGGCCTTGCTGGTGTTTGCACCAGGCTCTGCTTTCGTGGCGTGATGGTGAGACAAAAAAAAATTGGGATGCATGAAAACCTTGCAATTGGCACACTGCTGCCAATTGTCATGCATTTTGTAAACAAACCAAACTTGATGCAGGCAAGCGGCTGGAGTCGCTTGGGGGGGGGGGGGGTCCTGGGCTTGAAGGTACAAGGCGCCCTTGCTTTGTGCATGCATAGACATGGTTCAGATGTAGGTGAGGCAGGACATAGCCATAGGTGTCCAGGTTCTGTGGAGCCTTGTTTATGTTTGGTGGTTTCAAGCGAGTTCGGTTTTGAATGACATCTGGAAACCTCAGAAAGGGAAATATGGGTTTGGCATGCGCGATTAGACAATGTCAGGCAGAAGTGAAAAATGCACATAAAATATGGGGAAACGGAGTGAAAAATTCCTTCTCATAGGGTGTTGCTTTACACCAAAAGTGCGCAATTCTAGGACACTGGATATGGGTGGTCGAAGCTCGCGACGATGTGAAGTCAGTTCCTAACCCACTTTTCCCCTCATAGTGTGGCTTGAGCAATCTTAAAGTTGACGTGTCAAAATGTAGTACGGGCTCATCTGGTCATTTTTGACCCACAAATTATAACATCCGGCTGTCAGATTTGGAAGGTTCGGTACATCAATTTAACCGACTTCGATCACTGCTAACTTCAACCGCAACGATCTCAAGACATTGAAGAGACATTGAGAAAGTCTACGCGAGGTTAGTCGCATGAATGTAAGATCGAGGTTCTTAGCATTCCCGGCAGTTTTTGGTTCTCAACGACAGATTTATCCGTGCCCCACTATTCAAATTAATGGCCCAATGCCCCCACTATCGTCTGTATTAGAATGGTATCTGGACGTCGATATATGCATCAAGACCAAATATTGACATGATGCCGGTGACTACACGCTCGCTGGTTAAGATCACGGTGACACCGTGGGTATTTGTTATTACAGAGCGGGACCACATCACGACGTGAGGCTCCGTACCGAGTCACCATCCGTCGGTCTCAGCCTCTTCTCCTACAGCCCCACTTCCTGCAGCAGCGTCGGCCACAAGGTCTGTAGCACCACCTGCACGACGGTCTAATGACATGCAGTCCCCCGTACTTCTTGGCCGCTCGGCGAGTGATTGCAGACAGTTGTGCCGTGGCCTGCCGGAGGGAACGACCGGCACGGTCTGGTGAGCCGCCGAGGTCAGAGGTCGCTGGTGACCTGTCAGCGATCAGTGATCGCCAATGACCAGTGACATCGCTTCGCGTGGCTCTCCGTCACTCGCGCCCCCTGCCGAGAAATGGCGAGGGGCGAGGCTTGCGATGGTGTTGGACGGGGTCCGCGGGCAGATGCGAACGCACCCGCAACCGGGCAGATAGTCATTACGTCGGTTGGGGCTGAAGCACGATATGACGTTTACACAGAGTTGGTCCCAAATTTCGTGAGCTGTGCGGTGTCAGAAATCATTGATACTCTCTGAACTCGTGGGCGTCAGGTGTTATGGAGTCCTAAGATGGACTAGATGATGATGATTGTTAAGTGGGGGGAACCCTGCACACATCTAAATACCCCACACGAGGACGATAGTGCAACGAATCGTTGTATCCGTAATTCTAGTACAGCGTCTTAATCTTTCCGTAAATCTAAAGCAAGTCACTCATCGCATTTCGCTCAAAGTCTGAGGTTGGTTTTATCTCACCGGTGAGAGAAGGCTGCATACGATGCCCAGTAGAAAGATCAACATTATCACGTTTTTCAGGCGCATTGCTCTTGCTTCTCCCCAACTATCACGTAATGGGATTGTCAGATCTATGTTTCGGCCTCTTATCCTCCGTTGGCCGTCCTCTCCTGTCCTCCGTTGGCCTTTCCCTCCTGTCCTCCTCTGGCCGTCCTCTCCTGGCCTTGGTTGGCAGTCTTCTCCTGTCTTCTGTTGGCAGTCGTTTCCCGTCCCTCTGATGATGTCTTGCCGTCGCTGTGCTGCTCAGTCTCTCCCCACACTCCTCCGCCCTGCTGTCCTCGTGTCCTCTCGCTGCGGTGTCCTTCGCCCTGTTGTCCTCGTGTCCCTAGTCGTCACTGTGGTCCTCCCCAGTCTGCCGGTCACCTGGAAGGCGGCGGCCGGTGGCAGCAGTGTCGCTCCCAGCGGCCGGTCCGGCCCTATATAGCCGTATGGTAATCGGCGCCCGGCTACAGCCAACGGCAGACGCCAAACAATGTCGCTGAAGTCCCACCAGGTGCGGGGTTTGGCTCCGCGTGTCACGACGTGTCGACAAAAGTACTGGAAAATAGAAATACAATCGTATACAAATTGAATATGTACACAGATTTAATCACGGTAGCTACATGAATAATTAAGCACGGTATCTATAGCCTCATGTCAGGATCCCCCTCGTCGGTCAAGGTATGAGACCAGATATATCTGGATCGTTCAGTGTTCGAGATCAATCGACGCGAACAAGGACCGGCCCATCAGCTATGGCAAGTGCAAGTCTTCAGACGGAGCACAAGCGGGAGAGGCCTCGTCAGCATCAGTCCCGTGTCCCTAGGATAAAGTTTGTTGACACTGAAATTGTGAGACCGCATCACATGTGTTTCTGCGGCTTTCCTCGGCGAGACACCAGTTTACGTCGCTGGGTTTCTGTGTTTGGTCAGGCTGGCTCGTTATTGTATCGAGCGACAGGCATACCCGCTCGTTGTTTCATATCACGGTGACACCGCGGATGTTCGTTGCTATAAAACAGGGCCGCATCGCGACGTGAGGCCCCGTACCGGGTCACCATCCGTCGGTCTCAACCTCTTCTCCGACAGAACCACTTCCTGCAGCAGCGGCGACCACAGGGTCTGTAGCACCACCTGCACGGCGGTCTGATGACCTTGTGGAAGACCGCCTTACCCGTAGGCAGCAGCTGTGGCCTGACCTGCCGGAGGGGACGACTAGCGTCATCTGATCGTGTCGTCTGATCTAGTCGTCTGATATGATGCTCAGCATCGCTCGCAAATTACTCCCACCTTCTCCCATCGTGGGCTATGAAAGCACGCTGAAGAGCTCGACACCTTTGGCATTTTCTTCAAAGGCTGAGGGTAGTTTTAGCGCACCGGTGGAAGAAAGCTGCATGCGATGCCCAGTAGAAAGGCCAGAGTGATCACGTTTCTTAGGCGCATTGTTCGTGCTCTTCCTAGACTATCACACGCTGCGATTGCCAGATGTCTGGCGGACTCCTGTCCTCCGTTGGCAGTCCTCTCCGGGCTTCCGTTGGCCGTCCTCGCCCGCCCCACTGTTGGCAGTTCTCTCCTATCCTCCGTCTGCAGTCCTCTTCTTTCCCTCTGATGATGTCTTGCCGTCGCTGTGCTGCTCAGTCTCTCCCCACACTCCTCCGCCCTGCTGTCCTCGTGTCCTCTCGCTGCTGTGTCCTTCGCCCTGTTGTCCTCGTGTCCCTAGTCGTCACTGTGGTCCTCCCCAGTCTGCCGGTCACCTGGAAGGCGGCGGCCGGTGGCAGCAGTGTCGCTCCCAGCGGCCGGTCCGACCCTATATAGCCGTATGGTAATCGGCGCCCGGCTACAGCCAACGGCAGACACACGACTCATCGACGCCCGTCTGTGTTAACATGCTGCCTGCTGGTCGGGACGCGCCCCATAAACCGCCACACTGACCGCCTTAAAAAACTGCTGAGGCTCCTCCGTCGGCGGATTGGCTCCGCCCGCCGTGCAGGCTTTCCAGGACTGCGGCAGAACGGTTCCTGTAATGTCATCTTGTTGCAATTTTTTGTTAGCACGTCCGCTGTAGTTGCCGTATTTGTCATCCTTATGCTTGCTGTTTGAGGCCCTGCAAGGTGGGCTTCCGCGGATTTATATATATATATATATATATATATATATATATATATATATATATATATAAGGGCTTTGCATCTATGAAGCACCCTAAATCGAGGCCTCACGGAGTTACAACTATGAAGACCATTTTCAGTGGCTGAGCACCACATGGTGGTTAAAAAGAAAATCTCAAAACTCGGCTTATGTCAGCATGTCCGCCGAAATAGAGTGAACTTTGTGACCTATTTATTGTATTGCCCGAAGTTTGAGACTGCATTCAGTAGCGTACGGTATAATATTAGTAAAGACCAACAGCCACAGAGAGGGTGCTCTATGAACACATAATAATAAAGGGTGACTTTACTGTGCGCAGCCGGATCTGAATTGCCATCTCATTTTTGAATTGTATTTAATGATCAATATTCAGGGATAATGATACTCATCACCATCAGTGATATTTTGCCGCATAGGCTAGAACGAAATGCACTTCTCTTCTCAGGCTTCGACCAGTGGTCGCTCATTGAGGTGCATATTGTCAACATATTCATATTTATACTGTTTCCCCCAGTCGTGTCCCAGTGGTTCAGACTTCCCACTCAAACACGTGGTAGGCACCTGTGGTTGGGTTTCTGAAGCATCTCTTTGACCTGACAGATACTAGTGAACAGGAGACAAAATAGTCTCCACGACTACACGGACACCAGCGTCATCCATCATCACCATCAACGTCGCCATCCGAATGCTCTGACCCTATTTTGTCAATCGCAGCTCAGGTGACATGGCCTGCTCGCCACCTACGAGAGGCCTCACTGGGAGTGCCCCTTTGCCAGTTGGGCTCGGAAGCTCCTGGTGCTGCCCCTGGTGCCCGCTCGCCACCTCCACACGGCTTGGGAGCTTCTCCTGGACCCCAATGTGCCTGAGGTGACGGGAGTTGCGAAGTTGCGCCCTTTTACGTGGTCACTGCATTCTTGACCATTATGAGTTCTGACAACGATCCCACAGTCTGACAGCTCGCTTTACATAAATGTTTGATGATTATGAATATCTTTTCTATAATTACGATTCAGTTTGTATCACGTATACGGGGACTTGTTCATCATATAAAAGCAAATTATCAGCACGTGCATATCTGCTTGTTACCAATAGTGTAGCTGCTTGAGCATCACTGAAGCCGTTAAGTCCTGCTGAAGTTGGGGAAGAGCTGCCTGAAAGGCTAGTTGCAATGCAAATCATACTCTAGCAACGCTCGTTAATTTCACGCCAGTGTTCCATGAATCTGACTCACGTTTCCGAGCGATGTTTCGGAAATCGTTTTCAACCATTCCGTTTCGCAGGTAGAGCCTGAGCTCGAGCCGCAAGTGGCCCGCCTCAAGGCATGCATGGCGAAGCAGTGGTGCGCCCTGCTGGCCGACCGCGTGTCAGTCCATGGCCTGGAGCGGTGTACAAACAACGACGCAGAGTCGTTTTTTGCCGGGCTAGGTGCCAACATCCCCGCAGCCCACCCCAGCTTCTGGCGGTTCGTAACCAAAGCCTACGACGTAAGTACTTCATGTTATGTCATGCCTGGATCTACGACCATTTGTTAGGAATGATTATCACATGTGATGAAAAGCTTAAAAATGTTGTACCTTAACACATTCGCTTGAAACGGCTGAATATCTCGGCCAAATTTCCTTATGCTTGGCATTTCACCCGTGCACTGATGAGGGTATATATCTTCTAGTAACGCTTGGTATGATTTCTCCAGAGTGATTGTAGCTGTACAAATATTTACAATTTCTTACCAACACTATTTTGGAATGTGCCGTTACATTTATGGACACGGCTCATGGCAGGTCAACTGCCTTAATAGGTTTTTTCTACATACGTTGGACAAAAACTGTCTTGAAATTCATGTTCGTCGGTAATGTGCTGCGGTATGGTTTCATTTTTCCTATGAAGACATTTTTATTCGGCGTTGTCACTACCTGAGCTGCATATTGTTCTCTGCTGGCATCATAGGTCACCGACGTTGTTGACCTGTACCCAGCTTTCAGTGGTGTATCTCTCTAGTTACCAAATGTAGGGATGACATTCATCAATAAATTTGGCAACGTACGCCACTTTCTCCGAAAGTTCACCACTGGCCATTGTCCAGTAGACCTTTATTTCGAAATGGTATCACAGACGCCCAACTAGCATGAAGTGCTGCTTTCATTCGTATTTGGACTTGAGTGCGTTTCCCTCATCTGCATGTGACTTGCGGTAAAAGATCATCATGGACTGCCATCCAACGTCGGCAATGAAAATCAGCTCACCTGACAGCTGGCTGGTCCGTGTCAAACGCCGGCAGTCCGTGGTTATGGTGTGAACCAGTATCGCGGCTTGCCTAGTTGATCAGCTGTTGCATTGTGAACATAGCGACAATTTCCGTGTTATTGTATGCAACTTAAAACAACCTGATGTGCATATCGGCACATGCGATTCCTTGTGTGTCATGTCTGGTGAAAGGAAGGGGGGGGGGAGGGGGTATTAATGCATTGGGCCGTTCGACGTTATCAAGTGCCAAAAACTGCATCAATGAGGGAGATATGGTTCGAAAAGCCTTCAAAGGTTGCAGCGCATATACCATTAGGCTTTAAATGGTTCGACTTCCAAAGAGGCAGTCAGTTGAAAACGCCAAGTCGTGATCTGGCTTTTCCTTGGGTGGCCTGACCTTGAAGACACCGGAACGATACTAATGCACCTCAGACCAGGTACTGTGCCGAAGAAAAAGAGGTCTGCAAAACTCGCTGTGGGATGCATTTCCCGGGGGATTAAACTTTTTGTCACTGCTAGGGAAAACGTCGCTGACATGACCCTGAAAGGCACGTCATCAGTCGTCAATCGTCGCGGCTAGAAACATCCTCCGCGTGCAAAACGTGTGAAGATACATGGTAACTCAGCTACCCAAAATATCACCAACCGTGGTTACCACCGTTCGCAAGTTACGACAGAAAAACCGCTCCTGAGACCTCCGTGCCCCTCGTAGAGCGAGAGTTTCCATTTAGTTACAGCGCTTATATTCGGTTGTGATGCCTGTCTTCTCGCCTGCAATCAGGTTGTAGCAGCAGCTGCCATGGCTGGAGGAGCCTTCCCGGCCGCCGGGGCCGCCGGCAGCGCCGGAGCTGCCCAGGCCGCCAGAGTCGCCGGAGCCCCCGGACCTGCTCAGGCCGCTGGAGCCGTCAGAGACGCCCAGCCGGCCGGAGCCGTCGGAGCCCCTAGATCCGCCAGAGCCGCTCAGGCCGCTGGAGCTGTCGGGACCCCCGGCCCCCGGAGCAGCCCAGGAAGCCCAGGCCGCCTGAACCCAACGAGCCGCCGGACCGCCCAGGGCCGCCGGAGCCGCCAAAGTCGCTGGAGGCCACGGAGCCGCCG